CGGGGGTCCTGCCTGGTGTGGTAGACCCCGGCCTCTACTGAGCCTGTCTCGGCTTATTTTACCTTATTTCATCCTTGGCCATGTGGCAGCGTCAATTTTGTGAGTTTATGACCTATTGTCCTAGGCAGCCCCACTTGGGAACCGGGTCTCCTGGTGTCATCTGAGTTAAACCCATTTTGATAAAGGTTAATTGCATTTTAGACATTAATCTGCTGCTATTTAAAATAGCCTTTAAATGCATTAAGTCTTAAAACTTTAAGATTCCTCAGAGACTCTTTGACCCCTTTTCCACTTTTTATTAGCTTTTAATTTACCGTATGTTTATTTTCAGTAGTTTGTACTGCTTGTGTAGGTATTAGATACAATAATACTGTTATACGGTTTATTAGCTAATAAAGGTAGCAATATTTTAACTTGCGGTCTTTTGTAGTTATTTATGCAGTAAACTGCTCAGAGCCAGATCCCCCCTCCTTTGGTTAACATAAGAAGAAACAGAGACACTAAATACCTGTACTGATAGCCATAGTCTAAAGTGGCAAAGGCACCTGAATTTTAACAGGCAGTCCAGGAGTCCAACCTTGAGTAAAAGACTAAAGAACCTTGATGAAAACTCAGTCTAAACTTATAATGATTTAACTAATACTCATCAATTGGTTTCACCCTTAACTTGAATGACCAATTAATTAAACCGTAGTTTTAGTTATTTAATAAATGCATAATCTTCTGGTAAAATTGCACAATAGAAGTCACAGCAAGTATATAAATGCATCTTTGACCTAAAAATTTTGATAAAAAACACAAGAAAGATTAAAAAAACACACCTTGCTAACATATTAGCTAGCTTTAAATGGAGAGATTCTGTCTTTCAAAAAAAATCTTCATAATGTCCTGATATTTGCCTGAGTTGTTATATTACTAAGCATAGATCTTTGATGGACCCATGTGTTTAGCATGGGTTTAGCTCATGAGCTCATTGTAGCTAGCTAAAACTTTTAATGAATGCAAATATCGTTTTAAAATTTAGTTCTAATTATATTTGCCGTTTGTTCTTATTTAAATAATATATTTTTTCTCTAGCAATAACAAAACAACAGGGTGGGTGAATAACAGGTGAATAAGGCAGCATGACAAAAACATAAGAGGCAAACAAAATGTCCGCTCTTCCAGTCCTCAGCTAGGTTTGTGTGATGGGCTGTGGAGCTCTGGAAACAGGGATCTTAGACAGCGAAATCAAAGTACATACTGTATGCAGAGCCTTGCAAAGCAATTCATACCCCTAATTATTTCCTATAATAATGCCATTGATGTAATATACCAACACAAAGAAGCTACAAAACCAGTGCTCTGGTGAAATAAAACCAAAATTATAAATTTCTCCCTGCAAAGGTAAATATGTGCAGAGGACAGCTAATGCTGTGTGGAAGATGGTGGTGGAAGAATATTTCTGTGGGTCTGTAGGAAGAGGAAGCTGGTCTGAAGCTAAAGATAGAGAACCAGAAGCTGCAAAATACCATAAAGTGAGGCAGGGTTTCCCAATTCAGCAGGACAATGCTAGAAATATTACACAAGTATAATCAAAATAAAGCATATTCATGTGTCAAACTGGCCTAGCTCAAGTTTAGACCTCCTCCATCTGATAAGATTGATTTAGCTCAAACCGGCAAAGAAAAAAAAAGACCTTCCTTTTTAATTACAGAGAAAGATGCTTTTTCAAAGTGTTGGTTTAGAGGGACTGAATACCGATAATATATTTAATACCTACATCTACCACCTTATGTTGGTTTATGTTATGTTATACTAATTGTCAGGACTCCTGTTTTTGTGTTTCTGTGTTTGTCTCCCTTCATCCACCAGGAGGCGCCTGGTTCTGGTCCGTCTCCTCACACAGCTGTTGATGGTTTCCTCGTTAAACGGAGTGTTTTTTAGAATGCAGAATGCCACTACTTCGACGCCAGAGTGTTTGCCAGTTTTGGGTACTCTAGCCAAGCCGAGTTTTTGCTGAGTCAAGCTGAGCTTTTTGTCAACCCGAGTTTAACTTTTTGTTTTTGTCTTTGCCTTTCGGCAGGAAGTCATCCTGCAAACTGGATCTCTCGGACCTTCTCTCCCTGGAAGGATCAACTGAGCTTCAAACTGAGCTGGGATTCAAACAGGAGGTTTGGATCCACTTTGCCCAAGTGATTGTTTGAGCTTCACACTGAGAAAGGGATTATTCTCCACTACGACCCGTTCAAGTACAGCAGGAAATCTGAGTGGCAGTCAGCTTCTCCGCTCACTAACAATCAACCGCATTCTGGGTAAACCCTGTTCCGCCCTCCACAGAATCAGACAAACACTGGAACCACGGCACACAGACAGGAGTCAAGGATTCAACAACTTCTCTAGAAACGTGAGTCGGCAACCAAATCCTCTTCTCCAAGTTCACGAGTCAAATTTCCCACTGAGCCTGAACTAACCGCTGTGTCTTCCCCTCACTTTACAGTTCCGGTTGAGCAGTGTTCAGAGCAACACTTCTCCCCTGTTTACTTCTTCAATAAAACCCGTTAAACCTTTTCCCTGGTCTCTCTGTTTGGTTTTCTGCATTTTGGGTCAGAACTTTGTAACATCACTAATTTAATTCATTAAAGCTTGAGCGTCTAAAAGGAGAAAATGTGAAAAAAGTCTAGGAGGTATGAAACATTTTGCAAGGCGCTTCATAGGTAGCCTTACTGTCTTTGATGTAACCAGACTAACACTGAAAACGGGCTGCATGCAGCTTACCAATAGGGATGACCACTCCAAGGACGGCCACCGTCAGGTTCTCACCAAGGACAAAATTCTCCCCAGCTGGACAGAGAGAAGACACAAGAAATTAGTGGTGTGGGAGAATTATGAAGAAGAACATAAAGTAAGACCAAAGGCGAGATACAGAATGTGCAAGAAGCAGTGTGAGAGATAAGCAGGGCGAGATGGTGCAAGAGAGAGGTGATAAAGCAAGGAGGCGAGAAGTGGCGTTAATGGCCGTGAGCGATGGCGACAGAGTGAGGAAGAAAAACTGAAAAATCTGAAGGATATTTGCTGGAGTGTGACTTTAAGACACCCCTGACCTTCTGCACTTTATATATCCAGACTCCACTTAACTACATTAGAGCGCATTTAAATTCCCCATACCTAACGACTGGCGTTCATGCAGCAACACAAATTTTCTTCCAGACATTCCATCCCCACCAGCCCACGTAAAGTGTAATTTTATGAGCTGAATAGCATAATTTTCAAGGTGACAATTATTCTTGTCGACGGTTGCTGAGGCTTGTAGGTACTGCGCTTTAATGACATCATTACAGCCGAGCGGAGACTGTCTGTTAAGGTATGACAGGTAGCAGAGGAACAGGAAGGCTCTGTCTAAAGTCCTCGCTTCGAAAGCATTCGTAAAACTTCAAACAGTTTGCTGTTTATTTTCGCCCAACTCACAGTGTTGGGAGACGCTGCTGTCCACTGCAGACGTGGTTGAGATAACCATAGCTGTGGCCGTGGAGTGGGAGCCCGTTGATTCGGACTTCTGTGACGTCAGAGGCTCCAAGGTGCTGCGCGGGGTGAGAATCTCAGGAGAAGACGACGAAGCGGTGGTCAGATAGGGGACATCGTCCGCCTGCGAGAGTCCCCCTGAGGACGGAACGACGCCCTTGGCAGCAGTTTCTCTGGTGTTGGGAGTAAATCCTTGGGAAGGTGGTGACCTCGCTGTCATGTCGTCTCTTGGTGCTGCTAAAAGGAAAGAGACTTTATCTACTTCTCTTATTTCCAATCATCTTAACAGATTTTTTTTTTTTTTATTAACCTACAGTTTCTCAACCAAGCAACACTAAATCTGGCAAAAATAAATGTCATCGTAACAGACCTCACTGGCCTGCTGGATCTATATCATTTATTATAACGTTTTGAATAAGAGCAACAAGAAAAAGAGAGTCAAGGATGACATTTTGAGCATAAAGGTGCTAATAAGAAGATAATATTTCTAATCAGAAGAAAATCTGCCTTTCTGAGTACAATTCAGACGCTGTCCTAATGAGCGTTCCTCTTTTATCATGAGTCACTAATATTAAGGGAGGCTTAACACTCTGGAAGGACAGTTAAAAAAGGAAATGTGTCAATGTTCGCCATGATGAGTGCAGGCAGTAACAAAGCAGGTAGAAATTACATTAAGATCTGCCTCTCTATGGTTTATTTAAAGTGTTATTTCAGGCTTTGACTGGACTCCATTTTATATGTGCACTTTATTGATACCCTTCTTTAAAGTGTTATTCCCTGGGGTGTCTTAATATTTTGTCCCTGTCAGCTGGCCTGCCACCAAGTGTAATAAAGATGTAGTTTTCAAACAAGGGACTAACTTTTTCTGTTTTTGATGCGTTTCTGTTTAGGCAGATTATTGCATTCCTTCTAAGCAGCCACCCAGGGCGACAGAGGTCTGTTAATCAGATTATTAAGGCAGGAAAACATCTAAACATGCAGGACAGTGGATATGGAGGAGTGATTTTGAAAACCACTGTTATAGAGCAGTTATATTATTTGGTACATTTAACAAACACATTAGGTGTGTTTGCAAAAGATTACTGTATCTGTATCACCAAAGACGTTTATTTCATCAATCTCTACAACGCCTCCCTCAAGTGAT